AACTCCACCATCCCCACCAAGCAGACGCAGATCTTCACCACCTACTCGGACAACCAACCCGGGGTGCTGATCCAGGTGTACGAGGGCGAGAGGGCCATGACGAAGGACAACAATCTGCTGGGGCGCTTCGAGCTGAGCGGCATCCCTCCGGCCCCCAGGGGCGTGCCCCAGATCGAGGTGACCTTCGACATCGATGCCAACGGCATCCTGAACGTCACGGCCACGGACAAGAGCACCGGCAAGGCCAACAAGATCACCATCACCAACGACAAGGGCCGCCTGAGCAAGGAGGAGATCGAGCGCATGGTACAGGAGGCAGAGAAGTACAAAGCGGAGGACGAGGTGCAGCGCGAGAGGGTGTCAGCCAAGAACGCCCTGGAGTCATACGCCTTCAACATGAAGAGCGCCGTGGAGGATGAGGGGCTCAAGGGCAAGATCAGCGAGGCCGACAAGAAGAAGGTGCTGGACAAGTGTCAAGAGGTCATCTCGTGGCTGGATGCCAACACCCTGGCCGAGAAGGACGAGTTTGAGCACAAGAGGAAGGAGCTGGAGCAGGTGTGTAACCCCATCATCAGCGGACTGTACCAGGGTGCGGGTGGTCCTGGGCCTGGCGGCTTCGGGGCTCAGGGTCCCAAGGGAGGGTCTGGGTCAGGCCCCACCATTGAGGAGGTAGATTAGGAGCCTTCCCAAGATTACTGTTTTTGTTTTGGCGCCTCAAGACTTTGTATTTCCTAATATTTCCGTTTGTCATTTCTTAGTTTCCTGTGTTTGCAATGTTCAAGTTTTTTGGTGAAGTACTGAATGTAACTTTTTTGGTGAAATACTGAACTTGCTTTTTTTCCGGTCTCTATGTATAGAGATGAATTTATACTGCCATCTTATGACCATTTCTTCTTTGTAATACACTGAACTCAGGCGATTTTTTAAGTTAGTTCCTTCAAAGTAAATAAACTTTAAAATTCAAGTGATGCCTTTTTTTCCTTTATTTGGGGGTCAGTAGGGTCTGCATAGGTTATCTTTCTCATAGCGTCTAAAATGGAATGGCATTTTTGCGTCCAGTAAGGGCAGATATTAGAGAAGTGTGGCTACTGTAATGTGATCCATTTGTGTTAGACAAATGGTATGCTCCAGTAAAGCTTCTTAAATCTGGCCGGGCGTGGTGGCTCAAGCCTGTAATCCCAGCACTTTGGGAGGCCGAGGTGGGTGGATCACTTGAGGTCAGGAGTTCCAGACCAACCTGGCCAATGTGGTGAAACCCTGTCTCTACTAAAAACACAAATTAGCCGGGCATGGTGGTGCGTGCCTGTTGTCCCAGGGAGGCTGAGGCAGGAGAATCGCTTGAACCCAGGAAGCAGTGGTAGCAGTGAGCCGAGATCACGCCATTGCACTCTAGCCTGGGTGTCACAGCAAGACTCACACACACACACAAAAAGAGAAAGTTAAAAAAAAATAGTAAAGCTTGTTGATGCTGATTGGGTATTTAGCCTGAGGGTACAGAAAAAGTTTTAACACCTGGGAGGGTAGCCTCAAATTGGTGTTTAAGATTGGTCTCAAAAGAGGTGGGGTGGGGTGGGGGATGTTTCTGCAAAAGTGGTCAGAGAGGATGCAGTTAGATGGGAGGCCAGTGCTCCTACCTCCGGTAGGTACACCTAATAAGCTTATGGACTTGATATTTAATCTAGATTCAACACGGAATGGAAGGAGTGTCCTACATTTCAAAGTGAAAAAATAGGGGTATATGCACTGGCTTGCTGAGTTATGCACATGTGCTTTAGTTGTCATCTTTTAAAATGGAAGGGTTTGGCTTGTTGCCTCTCTTATGACTGAAAGCATACTGAAATAGAAATGCCACATTCTTAGCAGTTATCACCTACAATTTAAGTACCCCAGTGAGCACCCGAGCTAGGAAGACCTACATACAGACTTCACTCCCATGCACTTTCCCGTGGAGATGCTTCATGCCCCAGCTGCTAGCATCCCAGAAGTAATTCCCTCCTTGTTGGAAAACGCCCACTACAATCTTTAAAGCTCCCAGGGTGAGCCCCTTTAAAAATAAATTGTATCTGGCTGGGTATGGTGGCTCACGCCTGTAATCCCATCACTTGGGGAGACCGAGACGGGCAGATCATCTGAGGTCAGGAGTTCGAGACCAGCCTGGCCAACATGGTGAGGATCCCCTCCCTCCCCCTGCCCCCTGCTCCTGCTCCACTAAAAGTAAAAAATTAGGCATGATGGTGGGCACCTGTAATCCCAACTATTTGGGAGGCTGAGGCAGGTGAATCGCTTGAACTCAGAAGGCAGAGGTTTCAGTGAGCCGAGATTGCGCCACTGCACTCCAGTCTGGATGACAGAGTGAAACTTCATGTCAAAAAATAAAAATAAATTGTGTCAGCCGGGCGCAGTGGCTCATGCCCGTAATACCAGCACTTGGGAGGCCGAGGCGGGTGGAGCATCTCAGGTCAAGAGTTTGAGCCAGCCTGGCCAACAGGGTGAAACCCCGTTTCTACTAAAAATACAAAAAAGTAGCTGGGCGTGGTGGCGGGCACCTATAATCCCAGCAACTTGGGAGGCTGAGGCAGGAGAATCGCTTGAACCCAGGAGGCAGATGTTGCAGTGAGCCAAGATTGTGCTATTGCACTCCAGCCTGGACAATGAGCGAAACTCCGTCTCAATGAAAAAATAAATAAATAGTATCTAAGGGCAATGAAAATGTTTTGGAACCAGATAGAGTTGACGGTAGCATAACATTGTAAAGGTCAAGGCTGCAATAAGCATGACTGCACCACTGTACTCCAGCCTGAGCAACAGAGTGAGACCCTGTGTCTGAAAAAAAAAAAAGAAAAAAATCAATTGTATCAATATTTACATTAAAGCACTTTATGAGCTTATGTGTACCTCAAAGCCCATCAAACCATTCACTAAATACTTGTTATGAAGAAAATCCAGTGTTATGGGAAATGACACATACAGGTAGACCTTGCTTTGGAAGTTTGGAAATAGAAAATAACTATGAAATGCTTAGGTTTCCAGGCCAGCCTATAGAGGAACACTTATCTCTTATGGTAGTTAAACTGTAGTACTGTGGACTCTGGCCACAATGTAAATCAATCTTTATGGGAATATGCTTTTGCTATAGGACCTCCTCTCCCCTTCAGAGCTGCAGTAGCATTTGTGACTCTGATCTGCAGACCCTATAGTGACTCTAAACCAGGAGCAACTACCACTACTGTGGCATGGGTGGGGAAAAGGGTAGTTGGAAAAGGGTGGAGATTGAGAAGGACCTACCAAATGCCTTTGTTGAAACAGTAGAGAAATCATCAGACATAACATTGAATGCAGGCAATAAGAGAGTTCCTATGGCCCTATCAATCAAGCTTATTAGTAGATGTTTTAACAAGAAATATATACAAATTATTGCTTGCCTGCATACCCTAGCACAGAGTACTGTACTTTGAAATATTCACTTTGTAACCTCAAGAAAAGAGGTTGAGGGAGCTGTGGAATTAGCAAAGAGAATGCAGCGCCATCCATAAACGAAGTGATGTTTTGAGTAGCAGAGGAACTTTGAGGGAGGAAAAGTGCAACAGGAAAAATAACTGCAGGTGTGGAAAAACTAATACAGATATCCTCTCGATTCCAATCACCTCCTGCCTTCCTATACCAAGCCTCAGAAGGCAGCAGGCTATGATAATAAATTTGATTTTATATGGCTTTTGAACCCAGGATTTTACTTTGTAACATATACACTTATTGTTACTCCTGGCCTTTAGAGTTCTTGTCATCCTCAAAAGACGAAAAAGGTACAAAACAAAAAATTAACTACAGTATTTTATAGATGTGAGAGAAGTGGGCAGAAATAATACGGCTTTAGGCTAAAAGAGGAAATGAGGTTATTTCGGGGGAGGGCAATATTGGCGATTTCTGAGGGGGCGATCCTTACGTGAATATAAAAAATTGTGACAGCCACCATTCCTCCTGCTAACTTATATAAATCCGTCCCCTTGGGAAACGTCCCTGAGGTATCTATCAGGTGCAGTTCAGCCAGAGGGAGTAAGCCCACCGGGCCCTCATCCTTTCCTAGCACCACTATTTAAAGGGATGTTTGAGGGGTAGGGCAGCGGAGCATTCCAGACACGGGGTTAAACCCGCCCCACCCCGCTGGCCCATGTCCAGCCCGATCAATAATTGGAGAAGAAAAAGGAGCAGGGCGTGGTGGTGCGGACCTGGAGAACAAGCTACCCAGGAGGCTGAGGCGGGAGGATCGCTTGAGCCCGGGAGATGGAGGCTGCAGTGAGCCGTGATTGCACCACTGCACTCCAGCCTGGGAGACCCTGTCTCAAAAAAAAGTTGAAAAAAAATTAGAAGGGAGGGCACCGGAGAAGGGCTGGAGCAGGTTCACAGGTTCGGACTACGGAGGAGCCCAGCAACCGAGAATCACTCCTGAGCGTCTAATTTTATTCTCTTGATGCCTCACGGGGCGAGGGACTAGAACGGGGCGCTGAGCTGGCGGTAGGCAAAAGCCAACCGACTCAGTCCCCGACTCCTTTCCCATCAGTCGCGCGTCCCCGCGCAGACGGGTGCGCGCTGGCCGCGGGCGGTGGGGACCTTCTCTTCTCGCCTCTGGCCACCCAATGCATCTGATTTAGTTGTATGAAAGTTACAAAACTCTCCAATATTTTCGTCTCGTAAGTTACCTAGTATGAGAGAAACTCGAAAGGTCTTTCTTTCTTTCCTCCTTTAATCCCTTTTTGGAAAAAAAACACATCGGAAAACGCAGGAGTCGGACAGGCAGCCCCGAAGCCAGCCCCGCCCTCAGGCCCCAGCGGCCCGGCCTTTTCTTCCTCCCCACCGCGCTCCCCCGCCTTTCCTCGCGTTTGGCTGAGGCTCTTTCTGGGCTCCACCCGAAGTTTCTAGAGTTTTCTGACCTTCAAGGCGAGAACTGCTGTGTCATTCTTAGGGACACTGCCCAACAAACTGCGCCACCCAAGCCTCTCTCTCCCCCCTCGCCAAGCGGTCCTAAAACATCAAGGTTAGTCAGGACTCTATATTTAACGTCCAGAAGATTCTGTGAACTGTATGCCAACTTTGCCATAGTAACAGGGCTCCCCCCTCCTTTCCCCTCTTTCTGCCTGAGCAATCTGTTCTATCAGAAAGGAGAAGCAGGGCTGGGAGAGCTGGAAGGTGGGGAAGGCAAAGCTTGTAGGGGCCATGGTCGTGAGTCCCAAGAGCGGAGCAGCAGCCAGGAAGGGAGTCCCTGGCTGATCACAAACCTGAGGTGCCCTTAATGCTCGCAGAGCCCAGCACTGTGTTCATTTGTTTTCCTTTTTAGATAATACAACAATTAGGTCTAACCACAAAATTAAAAGCAAACAAAACCCAGTTAGGTTGATAAGCCAGTGTGGGAAGGAGTACAAAATGAGTGTGAGAACGTGTGGGTCCAATCACCAGTTCTGTAACCTGTCGTCTGGGTAACCAGATCAAGCCACTGAACTTCTTTGATCCTTGGTGCTCTCTTTGAAAATGAAAAGGTTTGACTGAATGGCCTGTGCCTGCAGATCTTAGGACAGTTTTTACATTAAGCTGAAAGCAGCTGTAGTCCTACTAATGGTCCCCAACTTTTAAACACCTAAATAAGAATGACTAGGAGTCACATCTGAGAGTATGGGATCCCCAATAAAAGGAGAGAGAATATAATATTTTCTTTGATCATGTAGGGAATTTTTATTTTTTTTTTTAATTTCAGAGAGGATCTCTGTCTCCCAGGCTGGAGTGCAGTGGTATGATCATAGCTCACTGCAGCCTTGACCTCTTGTGGTCAAACGATCCTCCCACCTCAGCCTCCCAAGTAGCTGGGACTACAGGCACCTGCCACCACGACCAGCTAACTTTTAAAGTTTTTGGTTAGACATGGTGCCCCACCCACTATGTTGCCCAGACTGATCTTGGACTTCTGAGTTCAAGTGC